TATTAACCGATCAGCATTTCATTGCTATACAGGTTAGGTATAATAAAAGAAAGACAAAAATAACATTATTAATTACATTAACATGGATAGAGGTCAGCTTAGCCCCTCAGGCACTTATTGTCACTGTTTTAGCGGGTCGGACTGTAAAGGCACTGTCCACCAATGAAACACAAATCAATGAAAAAAAAAAATTGTTATAATAAAACATCTTGAGGCAATCTGGGTTTTAGTCGGAGTCTCTGGATTTCAGAAGGTTGGCCTGTGTTATAAAATACAATGCTGCTGGTTAATGGAAGTTTTGTAAACAATTTTGAAGTAGCTTTCTTGATAAAATCTTCTATAGGTTTTATTCCCAGTTCTAAATGTATTTGACGGGTTCGAAAATACCAGGGACATTTTAGAATTATCCTTAAAACTTTATTTTGAAATGTTTGCAGTTTGCGAATTGAGCTTGATGAAGCAGTTCCCCATACTGGGCAGGCGTATAACAATAGTGGACGTAGAAGTGTTTTGTATAAAAGGGTTCCATTCTTCATAGACATACATGATTTTTTGTTGATTAAAGGAAACAATTTTGATAATCTGCCATAAGCCAAATTTAATTTTTTATTAATATGAAATTTCCAATTTAACTTTCGGTCGAAGTATACACCTAAATATTTTATTGCTTGGTCAGGAGGGTTCCATGCAATCTGTTCACCTAGAATTTCTAAATTTGGAGGGTCTAACGGTTTTCGGAGGGTAAAAATCTTCGCTTCACTCTTCATCGGATTTATGGCTATTCTCCATTTTGTGAACCAGTCCATCAAATCGTTTAAGGAAATTTGAATGTTATTGGCCACAGCTTCGATGTCATGGTGTGTAGAGTAGAGTAGGGTGTCATCAGCAAACACGGCTGTTTGGACATGGTTTGACAATGGCAAATCAGAGGTGTAAATGTTATATAATAGGGGTGAAAGAATTGCTCCCTGTGGGACTCCGGCTTGAATTGGTCTGGCAGTTGATAGGGAGCCATCAATATTAACTGAAAACGTTCTATCTTCAAGGAAGCTTTCAATAATTCTCTGTAGGTAGGAGGGGACTCCGAACTTTCTTAGTTTATACAACAAACCATCGTGCCAAACACGGTCAAAGGCCTGACTTACATCAAGAAAAACTGCAGCAGTATGACATAATAAGCAAATGATATAAATAGTAATACAAAAATAACTTGAAGAACATGAGCTAGTGATTGACCACCGTCAACACTAGCAAACAAAGAGAATTTTGATAACACTTAGCCGAATCTGAATGGTAGGTCCAATATCGTATGTCGCTTCAGTCTGTAAATGGTGTTGTGATTGTCCAATAAATTAAGTGCAAGATGATTTGAATGATTTTCCAATTTTATAATGTATTTTTCACTATATTTTGTAATTTCTTCTTTTACTGTTCGAATTTGAAGATCATTGTGAAGTGTTCTGTTGGTAACAAACCAAGGAGCGTTGACAATTTTACGTAATAATTTTGATTGGTAACGTTGAATAATTTCAATGTTTGAGATACTTGCTGATCCCCAAAGCTGAATACCATAAGTCCAAATTGGTTTTAAAACTGTTTTGTACAGTAACAATTTATTTTGTGTACTGAGTTTTGATTTAGATCCAAGAAGCCAATTAAGTTTAGTTGTTTTTAAATTTAGATGTTGCCTTTTAGTCCAGATATGTGCCTTCCAATTAAGCTTTGCATCTAAGTGCATGCCCATGTATTTTATTTCCGTTACTTGAGGGAGGTGAATATTGTTCATGGATACTGGAGGACATGTAGCCTGATTTAAGGTAAAAGTAATGTGTGCTGATTTATTTTCATTAATTTTGAACCTCCATGTTTTAAACCAATGAGAAATGTCATCCAAGTTTAGCTGTAAATTTGCTGTAGCTTGAGCTGGATTGTCGTGGACAGATAAAATCGCCGTGTCATCCGCAAATGTAGCAACCATAGTGTTTACACTTTCTGGTAGGTCCGATGTATAGAGAATATACAAGTATGGTCCAAGCACGCTTCCTTGGGGGATTCCTGATTCTATAGGGTAAAGTTCAGTTAAGTAATTTTGATGTTTAATTTGGAAAGTTCTGTTGGTAAGATATGATTTTAAAATAGGAAAAACTGAATGGGGTAGTAACTTCTTAATTTTGAATAGTAAGCCAGAGTGCCATACTTTGTCAAATGCCTGACTGACATCAAGGAAAGCAGCAGAACAAAATTGTTTGTTTTCCAAACAGTTTCGAGTTGTATGAACAACCCTATGGACCTGCTCCACGGTGCCATGTCTCCGTCTAAACCCGAATTGGTGTCCTGGAATGACGTCGTCTTCTTCAAAAAGAGCTTGTAGTCTTTTGAGGAACAATTTCTCAAACAACTTGGACACTATAGGCAAGAGACTTATATGTCTGTAGGAAGTGATTTCATGAGGAGGTTTTCCTGGTTTTGGTATAACAATTAATTGGGCTTTCTTAAATTGAGTTGGTATGTGGTCTAGTCTCAATATAGAATTAAAGATAAATGCAATAAAAATCATTCCTTTCCTTGGCAGTTCCTTTAACATTTTCCCAGTGATAGAATCGTAACCAGGAAATTTTTTCGGATTTAGCGATTTGTCAATGGTTGCCTTAATTTCTGTAGGTCTGAATTTTTCCAGAGGAAAGTCAAGTTGAAGTGGAGAGTCCAAGAATTCTATTATTTCTTCTTCATTATTGACCACACCTACATTTGGCTTGAATACATTGGAAAAGTAATCCCCGAAAGCTTTAGATTTTTCTATGTCACTCTTAGCCCAGCTTCCATCCGGTTTACGAATTGGCGGGATTGAAATTTGGGGTGGCTTCAGCCTTTTTGTTACTTTCCATAACGAGTAATCCGTAGCTTCCGTAGCCGACAAAGATTGAGTATATTCTTCAAACCATCGGTTTTTTGTGTCGTACAATAATCTTTTCAAATTCCGTGCTGCTCGGTTAAAGTTGGCCTTATCATTTGGGTTTCTTGAGTTTTACCAAATTCTTCTGAGTCGTCTCTTTTCTGCTATCTTTTTCTTGATATGAATTGGGTTGCCTAGGCCTATTTTCTCTGATTTTTCATGATTAGGTAGAGGTGTGGATTCTTTGGCAGAATTTTGAATACAGTCAACAAAGTGATCAACGACATTTCATACATTTTCAGGACTACGTAGCTGTATGTGTAAATTTAAGTTTTGATTTATAAAATTTCGAAATTGATTCCAGTCCGTGTATTTATTGATAAATACGTCCCCTGGTTCTTTGTGAAATATTTCGGTACTTAAATTTAACATAACTGGTGAATGGTCAGAAGATAGGTCAAGACAAGATTTTACTTCAGTGTAATTTTGGTTAATACCTTTTGAAATAAAAAAGTCTAACAGATCAGGGATTTTTCGCATATCAGTGGGCCAGTAGGTAGGTTCACCAGTTGAAAAATGGGTGAACTGATTGTCATTCATTAATCTTAAAAGCTGTCTGCCTCTGGGTGTAGCCAAACGTGACCCCCATTCTTGATGCTTTGCATTAAAATCACCCCCTGCAATAAATGGTGGAAGCTTGAAGATAATCTTCCTTAAAACATGGTATTTCATAGTGTTTTTTAATCGTGTCCCGAACTAGGATTGTACTGTGAATAATTAAGTTCGTTACAAAATAGACGGATAAGGTGTTTCAAAAATACAAATACGTATTTGTTGAATCTTTACTTTTACTTACTACCATTGACTATTGGATACAGAAGTTAAGTTACTACTCACATAGTACCTATGGAGAAATTATTGTTTTTGTCAACATTTTTGAGTTTCAGTTATGAGTGTAATAATTTTTGTTTTGGGATCCCCTGGAAGTGGTTTTCGAAGTGATGTCTGTGTGTGTGTGTGTGTGTGTCATAAACAAATTTCGGACTAGGCAAACTTTTTCATAACAATTTATATTTGCCTAGTCCGAAGATGACCCGAAATACGTCGAAATGACGGCTTACTATATGAAATGAAGTACTAAATACTATTTAGATCGGTAATTTATAACACACAGGCCACGAACTATTTATACATACATAAACAACGTAAAGCGTAAACAATTCACGATAGTTTGCTCAACACATGTTTTACTCAATGAACCGCGCCCTCGTACCTGCACCCAGGCGAACGACTTGGAAGCGTGACTCCATGTGCAGGCCCGAGGAGCCTAGGGCTAGAGATATAGCCCTGACGCTAACCACTAGACCGCCGAGGCCGATGGCTTCAGTTCGTATTGTTACGGTAATGGCGTTCCCTCAGCTAATAAGAAGCCCACAGCTGTCATCGTAGCCTCTTCTATACCTCCCCTGAGTAAATACCGGCAACTTTTTGTTAGTTTCACACCTTTATGGAATATCAAATTATTATTACATAGAGGTGTGAATTAATTTTATTTGAAGAGATGAAAGAATTATTAAGTAGAAGCTTTCTTTTTTCTTTACAACCTGCAACATCAAGCGATACTCTATGTAGCTTTCTTGCTAAATAAAAGAGGTCTATCACTTGACTGAATGGTCAATGACATTCAGAACTGCGAATGTGTTGAACTAAATAGTTCTAATTCCTATAAATCATTCAAGTAGGGCCGCATACCTAGTAATTACTACATCTATGACGATACGGATACGCTGTCAGAAAACTATTTGAATTATCTTCGCGAAAAAGAGAGATATCACATGTATCACTGCAACATGTGATGATTTCATGTGTGTGCTTTACCTTCTCTCCTATATATTTGCAGAACGTACCGACTATATGAAAGTCCCACCACTACAATCAGCCACAAACTTACATGTTAATAGTTATATGTTTTATAATTATATAAGCAATACAATTTTTTCGCCCCTACAGTTTTATTGTTTGAATAGTGGCTACCCTGCAATCATTCGGTTCTGGGGATCTTTGTTTTTCTTACTCCACAGTCCACCACAATCACAATTCACAATACTCACTGGCGCTGTTGGTGGCTAGATATTAAACGTATTTTGTTTGTTTACTTTACCTTGTTTTCTTGTCTTGTTGAGTACGGTTCGGTTCAACGTTCAGGTTCAACACTACAAAGTGCTACAAACTGCAACAGTCAGAAATTCAAAATTAACTTTTCGGTTTCGGAACAGGTTTTTTGGTGCCTCAAGTGATTTTATTGTGCGTTTCATGTTCACACCTTGTTTATTATATGCTTTAACAGTTCATTATCGAACTTTTGAACGCATCACGTCTATTTGCGAATTTTTAAAGAGAAAAATATCTAACTCAGGCCTATATCTCTTTTGGTAAGTAACTTAAAGTATCTACCCACATTGTGTTTTAAGTTAACTCACAAGGCTAGGGTTATGTTGTTATACTTTATTTTCTTCTATTGGCAGCATTAACTTAATAAAGGCAATATAATTCATAGGCCTATTATACTAGGGAACCTAAAAAGTTAATTATTTCATTTTAGGTAGAAAAATACTCATAATGGTAGTGGTAGACTCAACTCAGGTTCCCCAGCCTAATAACTTAAGTTAGCTCACTGGTTCGTTAACACTGTGCAACTTGTTTTAATAGCCTAACTTAGGCCTAAAATTGTTACATGTACTTAACAAGTTATCATTAACTTTTGTTTAAAAAATAATTTATATAGCCTATAGGCCCAATTTTGGTAAAACTGAACTTATACTACCTACTTATGTTATATTGAACTTTTTTTGCCTTATCTACCTAAATAAGATTATTTTAAGCACTTTTTACCACTAGCACTTTTGGGGGAAACACCTATTTCACCCTGAAAAATGCTAGAAATCAATGAATTTTGGGGCTTGATAATTTTCTTTTTAACATGGTGGGTTTTTTTTTTATTATTAGTCCATTTTAAACACTATTTTGGCAAATGCCGTTTTTACCCAGGAAACCAGGTTTGAAAAATCGTAAAAAACAGTAAAGTAGGCTACCAAAAATTACCCCATTTTTGGGTAAACCAAATTAAATATATAATAAACTAACTTAACCTAACCTAACTTAACCTAACCTAACCTAACCTAGCCCAACCCAAGCTTAGGTTAACAATGTGCCAAAATGACCGATTTTTGGTAAACCCTGGTTATGCTAGGTTAGGTTAGTATTAAGTTATTGACACGTAGTAAAAAGAAGTTGGGTACCTACCTACAGTTTCTTAACTTAGCTATGATAATACCGATTATTAGTAAACCTTCATTCGATGTTTTCACTATCAGCAAGTTTGGACTTGTGTGAACCTGGCAATAACTTGGCAATAAATAGTGCGCGCGCCACAAAAATCTATTGCTGGCCGTTTTGCGGCAAAATACGTCTGCGATGCATATTACCGATGATGCCAACAGATAGAGGACACATTAACGGACACGACAGTATCAACATTATGTACCTAAGGAGTAGTATAAGGGGGGTAAAATCGGCAAAAAGTAGTGCGTGCGCTACAAAAAATCTACTGCTGGCCGTATTGCGGCAAAATACGTCCGCGATGCATATTACCGATGATGCCAACAGATAGAGGACACTTTAACGGACACGACAGTATCAACATTATGTACCTGGGGAGTAGTATAAGGGGGGTAAAATCGGCAAAAAGTAGTGCGCGCGCTACAAAAAATCTATTGCTGGCCGTATTACGGCAAAATACGTCCGCGATGCATATTACCGATGATGCCAACAGATAGAGGACACTTTAACGGACATGACAGTATCAACATTATGTACCTGGGGAGTAGTATAAGGGGGGTAAAATCGGCAAAAAGTAGTGCGCGCGCTACAAAAAATCTATTGCTGGCCGTATTACGGCAAAATACGTCCGCGATGCATATTACCGATGATGCCAACAGATAGAGGACACTTTAACGGACACGACAGTATCAACATTCTGTACCTGGGGAGTAGTATAAGGGGGGTAAAATCGGCAAAAAGTAGTGCGCGCGCTACAAAAAATCTATTGCTGGCCGTATTACGGCAAAATACGTCCGCGATGCATATTACCGATGATGCCAACAGATAGAGGACACTTTAACGGACACGACAGTATCAACATTATGTACCTGGGGAGTAGTATAAGGGGGGTAAAATCGGCAAAAAGTAGTGCGCGCGCTACAAAAAATCTATTGCTGGCCGTATTGCGGCAAAATACATCCGCAATGCATATTACCGATGATGCCAACAGATAGAGGACACTTTAACGGACACGACAGTATCAACATTATGTACCTGGGGAGTAGTATAAGGGGGGTAAAATCAGCAAAAAGTAGTGCGCGCGCTACAAAAAATCTATTGCTGGCCGTATTACGGCAAAATACGTCCGCGATGCATATTACCGATGATGCCAACAGATAGAGGACACTTTAACGGACACGACAGTATCAACATTATGTACCTGGGGAGTAGTATAAGGGGGGTAAAATCGGCAAAAAGTAGTGCGCGCGAACTACTTTTACTATTAGGTACTAGTTGTATTAGTTATTTAATGTACATTTTTTGTGGCGCGATGTGCACTACTGTTTGCCGATTTTACCCCCCTTATACTACTCCCCAGGTACATAATGTTGATTCGGTCGTGTCCGTTAAAGTGTCCTCTATCTGTTGGCATCATCGGTAATATACATCGCGGACGTATTTTGCCGTAATACGGCCAGCAATAGATTTTTGGTGGTGCGCGCACTACTTTTTGCTCATTTTACCCCCCTTAACCTACTCCCCAGGTACATAATGTTGATACTGTCGTGTCCGTTAGAGTGTCCTCTATCTGTTGGCATAATCGATAATATGCATCGCGGACGTATTTTGCCGTAATACGGCCAGCAATAGATTTTTTGTAGCGCGCGCACTACTTTTTGCCGATTTTACCCCCCTTATACTACTCCCCAGGTACATAATATTGATACTGTCGTGTCCGTTAAAGTGTCCTCTATCTGTTGGCATAATCGGTAATATGCATCGCGGACGTATTTTGCCGTAATACGGCCAGCAATAGATTTTTTGTAGCGCGCGCACTACTGTTTGCCGATTTTACCCCCCTTATACTACTCCCCAGGTACATAATGTTGATACTGTCGTGTCCGTTAAAGTGTCCTCTATCTGTTGGCATAATCGGTAATATGCATCGCGGACGTATTTTGCCGTAATACGGCCAGCAATAGATTTTTTGTAGCGCGCACACTACTTTATGCCGATTTTACCCCCCTTATACTACTCCCCAGGTACATAATATTGATACTGTCGTGTCCGTTAAAGTGTCCTCTATCTGTTGGCATAATCGGTAATATGCATCGCGGACGTATTTTGCCGTAATACGGCCAGCAATAGATTTTTGGTGTTGCGCGCACTACTTATTGCTCATTTTACCCCCCTTAACCTACTCCCCAGGTACATAATGTTGATACTGTCGTGTCCGTTAAAGTGTCCTCTATCTGTTGGCATAATCGGTAATATGCATCGCGGACGTATTTTGACGCAAAGCGGCCAGCAATAGATTTTTTCGGGCGCGCGCACTACTTATGGCTGGAGTTATTGCCAGGTTCACACCAATCAAGTTTGGTTGGTTAGGTTAGGTTATGATAGTTTAATTTTACAACTGATAGCCTATAAGTTAGCTGGTAAATATATCTATTACTAAACAATATTTTTAATTTGATAGTTTCAATAGATATTAGCATAAGTTAGTCCAGTTAAGAAATTGTACCCAAAAAGGGCTGCACTTTACTTGACGTCCTACACTCATTCGAATGAAAATATCTTTTTTTTTTTTTTTATTTCAATGGACATTCCATTTTGTTTGATGTGTTACTAAAGATACATTGTACATTTCAAGATGACTAATATTAAATAACAACTGTGAACTGTTGACACTTAGACATAGGCAACAAAATAAATAACAATAATAGGCCTATAGTAATTAACAACAACAATCTAGTAATTAACAACAATAACTTATAGCAAAAACATAACAAAGACGATCGTATTACATAATAACCATAAAGAACAAGGAAAACAGGTATGTTTGGGAGAATAAATATTAGCTTTAATAAGTATAACAGATTATGACTAGAGCAATTATTAAAAACTTTGTTTAATATTTACAAGGAACATGCAGTTTGAATGTGATTTTGAAAAGAAACTAGGAAAAAAAAACATGTGTAAATAATGATTATTACAAACAAGGATATTGAAGATGCAAAAATAAATAAATAAGCTAAACACTCACGCACTATCTGCCTGTTCAGGCGTGTGGCCCTTTAAAGGCGCCACCTAACACAAACACACCATTCACCCACAAATTCCGAATGCGATCCTTTAAAGGCATCGCCAAGCACAACCGCACAAACTCACTTTACCAACACGTATCATCTGGGCTGTCGTTATTGGATGAGGCGTCGCTTTACCGCTCTTCTAAAACTGGCCAGGTTGCTGTTGAAGAAGTCAACACTGGAGGAGACGGTGTTGCCGTGGCGCTGTATTCTGGGCAAGGTACTGTTCTTCTCATAATTGGTGGACTGATGGGCTCTACCAAAGAGTTCAGTTGACCTTGTGCCACTAGGAACGCGAAAATGAATTCCCTCCAGTATCTCAGGACAGTCTATTATTCCGTTGACAAGTTTAAAGAGAAAGATGATATCCTGGAGTTTCCTTCGGGTTTCCAGTGTATCCAACTTCAGCAAACAAGATACCTCATCCATTGGTACAGATCTGTAAGTGAACCCAAGTCTCAAGCCAACCAGGCGTAATAGTCTGTTCTCCACTGACTGCAATGTGGACACTGCCGTTACCTGGTGTGGGGACCATACAATAGATGCATATTCAAGTATGGGTCGCACATAAGCACAGTAAAGCAGCTTTAGCGTGGATGGGTTTGTAAGGTAGTGTGAGGATCTATATATTAGACCTAAGTTCCTGCTGGCTCTGGATGAGACGTTATTGATGTGATTGGTAAAACTTAAAGAAGAGTGCATCAAAATTCCAAGGTCCTTGGCTTCATCCTTTCTCTGAAGACTACAACCACTGAGAGTGTAACTTGTGTTATGTCTAGAACGTGTTCTATGGAAGGACATGTAAAAACATTTTTCTTTGTTAAGCACCATGCAATTTTTGTTACACCACTCTTCAACGGCATCTAGGGCGTCCTGAAGGGAGCTCTCATCGGCTTTGTTCCCAATCTTTGTAAATATTTTCATATCATCAGCAAATAATAGCTGGTTGACTCCTAGGCCCCTGACGATGTCATTAATGAAGGCAATAAAAAGTATTGGACCCAAGTGTGATCCCTGCGGGA